GGGAAGAGGGGAGAGGGAGAGGGAGAGAGAGAGAGAGAGAGAGAGGATTCAATAACCGAAAATAAGAAAAAAGCCCAGATTTTTAGGGTTTGCAGTCTTTGGATGCAAATTAAGATTAGATGGGTGACGTTGAAGAGATTGGACCTGATATTAGGTAAGAGTTTCGATTTATTTTTTGTGTGTGTAGGTAATAGAGTTTCAAGGTTTTTTTTTTGGGTGTACCCAGTACTTCAATTTTGTTGGGTCTTCTACGAATGATATTTTTTGAGTTTATGGGTCTCTTTGAATTGTTTGTATTTTGGGACAAATTCCGTGTAAACTAAAAGAGTCTGCTTTTTTATTTTTGTTTTTGATCTTCCTTCTTACGAAACTGTTGATCAGAATCTGTTGTATCGTTGCAACTATGGGGAATTGGGCATGTGGTTTTTGTTTATATGCTCTGCATATGAGCTTGTTGATTGTTTATTTTAGTTTCATGTATTGTAATCCAAGTCTTTTAGGAATTGTTAGAGGTCATTATAGAAAGAGATGGTTTCGTTTGAAGGGTTGTTTGGCAGAATATTTGAGAAATATTGGATTTTATTGTTATCTTTTCCCAAGTTTTGTTTGGTTGCTGAGAAAGGGTGGGAGAGAAAAAGAAAAGGAAAAAACTTTTAGTATTTTGTTGTTGGTTGTTTGAGCCAGCATAACAAAAGTGTCCACTTTTACTGAGCCTAATACAATTGATTGGCTTTGACTGCTAAAAATCAATCTTCATTTCGATTTCTTCCCATCAATTCTCAGTGGGTTTTTGCAACTTTACTGAATGGAGCATCCTTTGATTGTTAATGACTGTTGTATGACAGTTCGGATATAGAAGAAGACTTGAGGTGTGAAAATATTGCGGATAAAGATGTCAGTGACGAAGAGATTGAAGCTGAAGAGTTGGAGAAACGAATGTGGAAGGATCGAATCAAACTCAAAAGGCTCAAAGAAAAAGAAAAACAGAAACTTGAAGCTCAACAAGCTGCAGAAAAGCAGAAGCCCAAGCAAACATCTGATCAGGCTCGAAGAAAGAAAATGTCAAGAGCACAAGATGGGATTCTCAAGTATATGTTGAAGCTGATGGAAGTGTGTAAAGCTCGTGGTTTTGTGTATGGTATCATTCCTGAGAAGGGAAAGCCAGTGAGCGGTGCTTCTGATAACATCAGAGCTTGGTGGAAAGAAAAGGTGAAGTTCGATAAGAATGGCCCTGCAGCCATAGCCAAGTATGAGGAGGAGTGTATCGCCATGAGTGATGCGGATAATAGTCGAAATGGGAATTCTCAGAGCATCCTCCAAGATCTACAAGATGCAACTCTTGGTTCTCTATTGTCTTCTTTGATGCAACACTGTGACCCCCCTCAAAGGAAGTATCCATTAGAAAAGGGAAATCCACCACCTTGGTGGCCGACAGGAAATGAAGATTGGTGGCCCAAATTGGGGCTACCCTATGGTCAGAGTCCTCCTTATAAGAAGCCGCACGACTTAAAGAAGATGTGGAAAGTCGGAGTGTTAACAGCTGTGATAAAGCATATGTCACCTGATATTGCAAAGATAAGGAGGCATGTCCGCCAGTCAAAATGCTTACAGGATAAAATGACAGCGAAGGAGAGTGCAATTTGGTTAGGGGTTCTAAGCCGAGAGGAATCCCTCATTCGACAGCCTAGTAGTGATAATGGGACATCTGGCATAACTGAGACGCCACAAAGTAGCCGTGGTGGAAAGCAAGCTGCTGTTAGTAGTAACAGTGACTATGATGTTGATGGTACTGATGATGGGGTAGGGTCTGTTTCATCCAAAGATGATAGGAGGAACCAGCCGATGGATCTAGAGCCATCAAGCAATCTTTGCAATAATACTCTTAATCATGTCCAAGATAAAGAGCAAAGTGAAAAGCAACCAAGGAGAAAAAGGCCCCGTGTCAGAGCAAGCCCTGTTGAACAACTTCCTGCACCATCTCATAATGAGAATATACATCTTGGACCAAGAAATGCTTTGCCTGATATAAACCATACTGATGTACAGATGACTGGATTTCAGGTTCATGACAATCAACAGGAAAATGGTACAATCACAACTTTACGGCCACTGGAGAAGGATCTTGATATCCAAGCACAATTACCAGCATCTGAGTTTAACTACTACTCTGCTGTACCTTCAGACAACGTAATTTCAACACAGGGCATGCATGTGGGTGGAACACCCATGCTTTATCATGGGGTGCAAGATGCTGAGGTGCATTGTGGAGATACATTTAACGTTTATAATCCATCAGCAGAATATCCGCCCAGTCATGACCAGCCGCCGTCTCAGATTGTGATGAATGAACCACAGATTAGACCAGCAGATGGAGTCCATATACCAACAGTACATAGAAATGGAAGTGAAATTGCTGGAGGAGATTTGCCATATTATGTAAAGGACACATTTCAGAGTGAGCAAGACAGAACTGTTAATGCTAACTTTGGGTCTCCAATTGATAGCCTGTCATTAGATTATGGATTATTCAACAGTCCATTCCACTTTGGAATTGATGGAAGTGGTTCATTAGATGACCTTGAGCTTGAAGAAATGATGGAATACTTTGCAGCATAACTTATTAGATCCTATGTCACATAGCTTAGAATGTAAGTCATGTTTCTGTCTTATATGTTACCTTATTTATAACTTGTGTCCAGATGTTTCTCATCTTGTTAATAACTCATGTTCACAATTTGATCAAGATTCTTATTTCTCAGTGTTTCTCATGCTTCCTTGTTTATAACTTTGTTCAGAATTTGATCAAGATTCTTATTGTTATAAATGTTATTTTCATTTAGGGACTGAAAAAATGTTGCATTCTTTGCCCACCTGGGATAAAGTCCGGTGCTGTGTGTTGGACATATTCTCATCTGGGTTTTATCATTTGTGTATTCCGAGACTAAGTTGTGATTTTAATTTTTTTGAACTCATAATCTTGCAATCGAAGGGAACAGAATGATGTAATTCTGTGTTGTAGTTTCTTTTCACTTATCTTCAATAAGAACGAAAGCAAAGCGTGGGTTTCATGTAAATGAGTCAATCTGTTAGTCTGGGTATATGACTAAGTTATGATAATTTTCTCATTTCTATGCACAAGATATCTTCTACTAGATATGCTCATACTTTTTATGTCCACTTATCTTGATGCTCGTATTGTATCTGTAACCGGGAATGCTTACTGCATCTGGTTTTTTCTTTTTTCAGTTCCATTTGGCAATATGGTCTATCCACAAAATCATTGCTTTTTATATTAGTTCTCATTCATTGTAAGGTAGAAATGGTTTGAACTAGGAGAATTAGAAGATAAGCAGTCATTCGCATGCTAAAACACTCGTCCTTATAGAAAGACATGGTTTCTGAGTTCAGTGGTTTTCCTATAATTAGATATACTATTCTACACTTCAAATTCTGAGACTAGAAAAGTATGCTGGCTAAGAGCTGGCCCAGCCAAAGCAACTTTGAATCAATGAATATATATATCTTGGACGGTTGTACCATTGCTTGATGATTTGAGTTTGGGGTCAGTATGAGTCCAAAACTAAATCCAGGCTGTTGTGATCTGTTGTCATCTCTTACATGAGAATATTTTGGCTCTGCTCATTGATTTAGTCTTTGTATTGTTGTGTGACCAAGAAACCTCAGAGAGGATCAAGATTATTATTGTCCACCCTTAGTAGAATTTTGTGGTATAGTTTTATATTACCTTAATTTTGTGCAGATCTGCCCATTAAAGCTCCATGTTTTACCTTATATGTACCTATAAAAATGATTTTATAGGAGCCATCAAAGTTGGTTGTTTTGGGCCAGTTGTGTAATTGGTGTTGATCCCCTATCTTGGTCCTGAGTGCCAAGTGATTGCAGTTTTTTTTTTCTTTTTTTCTTTTGGGTAAATAAATTTGCAGGTTCTTCAATGCTGCTTTATGCAAATCCAATTATTGCTTCCTTGTGAACCCAATTCAGGCTTTAAATGAAGATCTTGGATTTTGATACTGTTTTGTAGGGCAGGCAGACACAGGAACTATGGTTTGTTTTAACTTCTGTATGATTTGCCCTTATTGTCATGATGATGAAAGATAATCCCTAAAAATGCCCCAATAACTTGCACAGGCAATGCTATTGTTTTGTTTTGAATTGATGGGAAAAGAGATATCTTTCTTAAAGTTGTGATTTTGACTTTTTCCTATCTATGCCCCTCAATCAGAGTTAATGATTTCATCATAACAAGGGTACAATTGTAATTCAAAGTAGCAGAGGCAAATGATGTCGCGTGGGCCCCACGGGAAATCATTGGACAAATGGCAGTCCTGCCTGAGTCCTGACGCTCTCTGACTCTCCTCCTCTGGCCATGCTGGCAGGCAGCCTCTCCAGACACAGGAGACCAGTCCTTTCCTTAATCGTGCCCTTCGCTCCGATCCGGTCGCGCCACGTGTCCCATACTCTCTCTCTCTCTCTCTGTGTGCGGACGCCGCCACCTTCCTTACGAGGATGTCTATGCCTACCTATACGCGTATCCAACCCTATTGTACGCAGCAGGTTTCATTTCATCACCTTTTTGGGTCCAGCCCAAAAGAGCCTGTACAGTTAAAAGACAATTATACCCTTGTTTATTTTTATCTGGTTCTTGCTCATTTGTGATTTTAGCAAGTCTAGGAGGGTAGAGGTGGGAAGTTACAAATTGCTCTCCGTTTCATCAACCTTTACGTACGTAAGGAAGAACATAAGTATATTTTGCTTAAGGGGTAATTTCGATATTTCATCTACATTTTTTTATAACCAAAATTACATATCAGTCTTCAGCCTCTTCATCTCTTGTATATCAGACAATTTTCGATACCATATATATATATATATATTATATATATGTAATCAATATTCAAAATGGGGTCTTGTACTCATTGACGAGTCGACGTACACTCTTCCATCATCATCACCTCTCTCTCTCTCTCTCTCTCTCTGAGTCTGTGTCCTATTTGTGAGCTGGCTGGTTTCTGGGATCAACAAATCAAAATGGGGTATAAGAAAGCTCTCACAGGGTTTTCAACGTTCATGGTCATTCTAATGGTGGCCTCAATACCATTTGTGCAACCTTCTCGTAAGTCTTCTTCTCCCCTCTCCTCTCTCTTGTCTCTCACATTTTTTGAGCTTCTGATTTAAAGCGATTTTTCCACGCCATTTTCATTTTTCCTTTTCAGGCCTCCAAGTAAGAACATTCAATTTCACAGAAAACACAAACACAAAGGTAACAACTTTTTCCGAAGTTCAAATCTTTTCATTTATTCAAGAACTCCCTTTATATATATATATTTCATCTTCTTTGTAGAGGTTTAAGCTTATCCATTCTGTCTTTGTCAACTTACATGTGTTTTCTTTTTCTTTTTTTACAGTCCATTATTGAGTTGGTTCTCTGTTTTTTTTTTCTCTGAAAAAGAACCATTTTTCCCCTGTTTTTTTCTTTAATCTGAAAAGGGGCTTCAAATCAACCAGGCTGATAGATTTGGGAATGGAGAAGGAGCTAAGGTTTTCAATGCTGTGGAAGACTCAGCAAGGCAAGTTCCAGCTGGTCCTGACCCTCTTCACCATAACAACAACCCCATTGGTCCTTAAACCCTATCTCTCTCTCTCTCTCTCTCTCTCTCTCTGAGCTAAGGTTTTAAATGATGGGGTTTTCACCTTTGTATAGACACTACTTTGGGGCTGCTCTGCTTCATAGCTATAGTTATCCAAGATAGTTTTAGTTTTTCTTAATGGCATGACCAAATATTGTTATGAGGTAATGGTCGTATATGGATGTCTTTTCTTCTCTGATGTTCTTATAATTTTAGCGAATGTAAGTCTCTGGTTAACTTTTCAATTTAACAATCTATCCACCAGCTCTTAACTTTGCCAGTTTTTCTTAGTTTCATGTAGAGTCTGTGGTTCTGCCAAATTTGTGTGCGTATGCTTTGAAATTTGAGGCATGTTTTTTCGTTTGCATATAACAACATTTACCGTATACACACCGATGTCAATGCAGGATGTTGATGATGGTGGGGTTGCATATATAAGAACATTCACAATCATGCTATAAAATATAAACTTCAATTTTACTCTCTAGTTTAGGGAGTTATAAATGTTATAACTTTTTTTTAATTGGTCCATCTTTATTAAAAAATAATATAAAAAATAATTAGCATTAATTAAATGTTTGAAATACTCATTAAACAAAGCAGCATTAAATTACAGGGAGCTACTATGAGTTCTTTCTCTCTTATCAGATTTAGGAGCTTCTTGAGGTCTCCCTATTTTAGGAGATGGATAGGAAGCATGGTTATTTTTTCAATTCCTCCTTAAGGAGCCCATTGTGGATTCTCTACCAATATTTACTTCACTGTATTTATTATTTATTTATTTATTGGGTTGAAATATACAACGTTCACTGGAGCCCAACTATAAAGAAGGGCCAAAGGCTAAGCCTGGGCTTGGGCCTACCTTGCAAGACTCAAATATCCGGTCAGAGACCAGCACCAGACCAAACTATGTCTTCCCGTATCGAGTTATTCTATAGTGGGCCTTATTAAGGCTCTTAGATGAAGTTTTATTCTCTAACCATTGGATTAAATTAATTAATTTGATTCAACTGCTAACCAACTACACCCAATAGTTTTTTGACCCAGCTGCCTAAAAGTCTTATTTACTTTAGAGCAAGTCCACCGCAAGGCCTTTTGCCCGAGCAGGATAGGGCCTAGGCCCGCAAACAGCTCCAACTCGCAAGGGCAAGGCATGGGACCCACCAACCCCGGCAAGTCCATCCCGTGTTGCTGCCTGGGCAAAGTGACACAATACTGATGTCATAATGACATCAGCAACCAATTTAAATTACAAAAAAATTGAAAAAAAAAAACTAAAAAATTCAGAATTTTTATTATTATAAATACATAGCCATATTATTTACTTTCCACACCAAAATTCTATACAAATTTATCTCCTCACATCTCATGTGAATAGTAATTGCTCATAGGAGTGGAAACAAAATTGCAAGGGCTGCCACTATTCATGTGAATAGTGACATCCCTTGCCTCGCCGTTGCCCATAAGAGTGGAAGTGCTCTTAATGAAAGAGAATTTATCCATTGTCATCATCTTGAGGAGTCACATGCCACTCATATATGTATGCTAATTTTCTGTACATCGGTCTCAAAGGTTACTTTAGCAAAATTGATGAGATTACTATAGATAGGTAGGTAGGTCGACTTAACAAGAAATTAAAAGCAAAAAATGGTTCTCGAACAAGAAAAAGAAGAAGAAACCAAGTCATCCATGAAGTATATGCCTTTGCTATTGAGAAGCAGAAGGCACCCCCAGCTGGTTCATAATATTAAGCATTTGCTTGGGTGATTGCAAGTTGTTATTTTCTCTTACAGCTGATGGACTACACATGCTCTGTAAAATTTCATTCAAATTCTATGTTTTAAGCAAACTTCCATCAGTGTTTCCACCAATGTCTCTTTAAATTCAAACCACCAATATTTTCATCATCACCAATATTGTCTTCCTTAACTGCTACAGTCGTTTCTCAAGCGACGTGCTTTGAGGTACTCTTGGACTCAACTTCATATGCATACTCTGTTGTCGTGCTACTTGCTAACCATTAGGCTCGTACAACTCTCAAGTTCTCATATCCTATTTTACATCATAAATCAAGAAAAGCAAAATATAAAATAAACACCCGTACAATGTTAATCTTATTCATATTTTTAGAGATAACTAAAACGAAGTTTAAAAGACGTGTTGTAAATGAGGTAAGTACTCAAATATTTTATAGTGACAACAACTAATGATCATTTGGTTTAATGACACGTAGTTTTCACATCGATAAAAGAGATTATGAAATCAAATTTTAAACAGCAATCACGGATAAAAGATAAAGAAATGGATCCACCAAAGATGGTATGCTCCATGAGAAACAGGGTCATTGAGTTAGTTTAAGCCCAAAAAAGAAAAAAAGAATGCATATCCCAATTCCATGTGTAGGACCAGTTTTCTCATTCACAAAACAAACACTCGCTAGCCCAACAACTTCCATTCGGTGTTGTCCAACCAACCTCAGCATCTCCATTTTTCTCAAAAATTGCCATTTTCTTGATCCCAGTTGCTTTCTTGCTCGTTGTTTATCTCTGATGTCAAACTGTACGGTCGAGACCTGCACAGTTGAGACCAGTGATGGAGTCAAACTCAGCACAAGGCTCTTCAAACCAAGAGAAGAGATCAACAAGGGCAACCCTGTAGCGGTTCTGGTGCACCCATACTCAGTCTTGGGTGGTTGCCAAGGCCTATTGAGAGGTATAGCAGCTGGGTTGGCAGATAGAGGCTACAAAGCTGTGACCTTTGACATGAGAGGGGTTGGGAGGTCAACAGGGAGGGCTTCTCTTACTGGGTTTGCAGAAATCAAGGATGTGATTGCTGTGTGCAAATGGGTCTGTGAGAATCTCTCTGCTGACAGGATTTTGTTGGTGGGTTCTTCTGCAGGTATAATATTTTTGCATGTGTGGAATATTTTTCTGCAATTTTTCTTGGATTAAGCCTGATAGTGTAGAAACAAAGGACGTATTTTTATGTGGGTAGTCACTAGAGTACTTGTTTATTAGTTTAGGTGGATTGTTTTCTGGATCTGTGAATTATGTATTAGTATGTGGTAGTTAGTAGATTGCTTCTTTGATTGGTTTGGTGAATGAATTTGTGGATCTATAATTTGCGTATTAGTTTGTAGAAGTGATCAGTTTAGATAACAATTTGTTACTTTTATTCTTTGTCTGCATCAGACTGCTAACTAAAGCATCTGCGAAAATTTATAGTATGCTTTGGATTTCAAGGAAAATTGATTATTTTGAGGTTAAATTTAATTTGGTAATGCTAATTATCTCATACTTTGTGTAATATCCTGACTTTGGAGTATTCCCGACTTTTGTGTTGTTGATCGTATTGGCCTTTAATCATTCAAAAGTTGTGATTTTGATCATATTCAAATTGAAAATAAGTGTGAGGAAGAGGGTTTTGTGCAGTGTAACTATGACGGGTCTTCTCTCTAGGTCGCAGATCAACACTAGAATTACAAGTGGCATTTGTTGAGCTAGGGGGAAAATGGAATTCAAGTTATGCATAACTTTACGAAAGAAAAGCTATGTAGTCTGCCCGTAAGTCTTTACCCAAGTAGCATGGGGTGGGATGAAGGATATGTCTTAGGTTTGGCTGGCTACCACATAATTGGCTGAGAAATGGACATAACAAGTATTGCTGCATACGAATGCCTGCTACTATGATAAGCTTGTATGGATGCAGAACCTATAATATTTTTACAAGCAATGGCTGGGTGAAAATGATGAAGTATAGATAATTTTTGAATAATATCATCTTTTTATTACAGCCTCTGAATCCTGCACCTTCTGTTACATTAGCTTTCTGTTGCTTGTTCTGAATTGCAATGATTTTGTTTTTGATGTGTTGGTTATACCCTCCAGTATCGGCAATATGAAAGCTCATTGATAGGATGACACAAGTAAAATCACAAGATAAAACAGTTGTAATGAGAAATGGATAGATTTTCAGCAAAGTTTATGGTGCTCAAACTTTATCACTCTTTTGCATGATTTAGGATCTTTCTGGTGTGGACTGCATGTGGGGTGTTGTAGACATGGCTGGGCAAATATAAGATGTTATTTGTACTTCAGCTCAAAATGGGTGATATATAGCGTGGTCTATCTGTTAGCTTTGTGATCAGCAGCATTTTCTGTTACAGCAATGCTTTTTCATTAAAAGCAAAGCATTAAACAGTGTAGGGTAGACTAATTTCCTCCGATTTTTAAAATTTCCCCTATGTTATTTTGTAGGCGCCCCAATTGCAGGCTCTGCAGTAGATCAGATTGAACAAGTTGTGGGTTATGTTAGTCTGGGGTATCCTTTCGGCATGATTGCCTCAATACTTTTTGGGAGACACCACAAAGCCGTACTACAATCTCCAAAACCAAAATTTTTCATAATGGGGACTAAGGATGGGTTCACAAGTGTTCAGCAGCTCAAGAACAAGCTAAGTTCAGCAGCCGGGCACATCGAAACACACCTGATTGAAGGAGTAAGCCACTTCCAAATGGAAGGCCCTGCTTATGACGCACAGATGGTGAATCTTATCCTTGAATTTATTGCATCATTGTAGATAGTCAACCATTTGTAATGGGGTTGTGTTCTGAGTCAGAACTGATCAGATTCCCTTGTTAGCTCTCTCCTCTGCTGTTGTATGTATAATAGGCTAACTTGTTATCGTGTGTAATTTGCAGGAGCTTAGTTGGTTTGCATACTCTGTGCCATCACAGTGTAAAATTAAGCTGCTGTCTCAGTTAATTTGGCATAGCCACACAATGAGACACAGAGAAAGCATCGTTAAATCAATCTTTACATGGTCAAGTGTTATTCAGTACAACCCCCGAAAAAAGTTACAGCAAACATAATCTCAACTTAAAGTTAAACTAAAAATGAAACGAAACCTAAAGCATACTAAGCATCCACTTAGCTGGTGATCAAATCAGAATATGGCACAACACTACAAACAGAGATATAACTCGATGTTAAAAGTCTCCAAATATCATATGTCATCGCCCTCAAAACGTTGATCGTCCGATGCAATTCTACCCTCTCTTGTCATTTTATTACCATTTGCACCATCAACTGCCCGACCTTCGGCCATTTCATCATACTGCCGTTTTCTCCATCCTCGATCTTGGTCTATTGGTTGTCTTTGAGAGAATGTATGTTCAT